AGAGTCTCCATATTTCAGAAAACCACTGTTGTTCTGGAAGTCTGTAATGGCCTTGTGAACCAGAAGGAAGATGAGTTTGCACCTGTAATTGAAGGCAGGGTCCTATCCTAGAGGAGTTCTGAGGAGGGATCATTAGCCTTCAGGTGGGGGGCTGGGTCGGGACTGTGATGAGAGTGGAAGATCAGGTGTGGCTGGTTTGTACCGCAGTGGAGGAGAATGTGTGAGCAGCCAGAGCTGTGCACTTGGGGCTCTTTAATTAATTGAAATTAAAATTTAAAATTCAGTTCCTCAGTTGAGGTAAGACCTTTCAAGGGCTTAATAGCCACATGTGACTTGAGACTATCCTGTCATAACACAGAGAACACATCCATCACTGCAGAAACTGGTATTGGGACAGGATTTTGTCACACTATTCTCACTTCTTTTTTTTTTGGGTGCAAAGTGGTGGTTTTATTAAAGCATAGCATAGGGATCCCTGGGTGGCTCAGCGGTTTAGCTCCGCCTTCGGCCCAGGGTGTGATCCTGGAGACCTGGGATCGAGTCCCATGTTGGACTCCCTGCATGGAGCCTGCTTCTCCCTCTGCCTGTGTCTTTGCCTCTCTGTGTGTCTCATGAATGAATAAATAAAATATTAAAAAAGAAACATAGGACAGAAGGAGCAGTTGCCTATTTCTCAGTTGTATACAGTGTAACACTTTGCAACCTCTGTGACAGCGCTGAAGTTCTTTTTATTTTTTTCTTTAATGAGCATACAATGTACAGAACTAAGGAATTTTAGTTAGGGTAGCCCTTTTATAGATTGCTGCTTAGTGTGTAGAGGGTTAAAGATCAGTTTCATTTCTAAAGCAGTACAAATTTAAATTGGTTATTTATGAAATATACAGATTAAGCACTTTTCAAGAATTGGCCAGAGGTTTGTGTTGAAAACATGTGGCTTGAATTGAAACATAACTTTCATTATTAACCACCTGTATGGCCTTGATTAACTTAACTTGAGCTTTATCAATGAGCTGGCTGAGGAATCTCCATGTTGAAGGCTTGATTTCATGATGAGATCTTTCATTTCATGTGGGGCTTGAACTCTATTCATGCTCTATTGACTGAGCCAGCCAGTTGGCGCGCTCCATGATCAGATCTTTTAAAAATATTTATATTCTTTTAAAAAATTACAGTGAAATCACGGGGCCCCTGGGTGGCTCTGTTGGTTAAGCATCTGACTCTTGATTTCTGCTAAGCTCACGATCTCAGGGTCATGAGATCTAGCCCCGCAGTGGGCTCCATGCTCAGCTGGGAGTCTGCTGCTCTCTCTCTTCCCCTCAAGAGCTGCACATGTGCGCATGTGTGCTCTCTCTCGCTCTCAAATGAATAAATTTTTAAAAACAAAAATTACAGGGACTCCTGGGTGTCTCAGCGGTTGAACGCCTGCCTTCAGCCCAGGGCATGAACCTGGGGTCCTAGGATTGAGTCCCACAATCAGGCTCCCTGCATGGAGCTTGCTTCTCCCTCTGCCTATGTCTGCCTCTCTCTCTTTCACTCTGTCTCTGTGTCTCTCATGAATAAATAAAATCTTTAAAAAAAAATTACAGTGCAATCCACATAACAAAATTAACCATTTTAAGGTGAATAATTTAGCCAATGTTGTGCAACCACACCTCTGTCTAGTTCCAAAACATTTTCATCACCGCAAGAGGAGACCCATTCCCATTAAGCAGTTACTTCCTATTCCCCCCTCCTCCTCCCAGCTTTCATATGAGTGACCCTTTGTGTCTGGCTTATTTCAGCAGGTTCAAATTTTCTCTAACAGTTTTAAGATTCAGATTATCATCTGTGTTAAAGCACAGGCAATAATATTGGTAACATCCTTCTTGTTTTAAAATTTGTGGCGGTATACCCAGTATCACATCCAGTTCATTAATCTTCCTTGATCACGAACCAGAGTATTAGTTTCCCTTTTAATTTGGGGTATTGCAGGTTACTCATTGATGCACTCTGATAGCTTTCCCACTTAAGTAGAATTGTTCCTTTTTTTGAATGCTTGATAAGGGTTTATCTCTGAACATGGAAATACCATTGGAAAATAGGAAACCATAATGTCACTCCTCACTCCTCGGGAGATTTACTAACTTTTCCTTCGCTAGCGGATATGAACTGTGCAGGACTTGAAATCATGGTCATCTGTTTGCTGACTATGAACAAATGACTTTGGGCCTTAGAATTCTCAGCCCGGGCTCCTTAGTAGCTAGTAAAGTCAGAATGAATGTACATTATGAATAAGATCTGAGTAGAATGAACTGGAAAGGGCTGCCTGGGTGTATGTGTGTGTATGAGAAGACGGGTGCAGTTATATTGGGAAGTTTAAATTTAAAAGAACAGCTTGCTATATCTGATTTTTCTGGTTCATTATTGCAAAAATATGAGTTCACAAATGTCGCTGGCATTGCCATTAAGTTTATAATGTGTAAAGCTTTTTTCCACCTTGGGGAAAGTACGGTCAACTTCTTATTTGGGGGCCTTTTAATATGCCTAGGTATATATTAAGCACTTAGTTGTTTTTAGTACTTGACTCTGTCCCTGTGAGCTTTACAAACATAAGGCAAACATAAATAGAATGTTTTGAAAAATAAAGCCAGGAACAGATTGTCATTATTTTGCAGCCACGGAGGTGGTCTGGTGATTGGTGTCATTTTCCTGGAAGTGCCTCACAGTCTTCTGCATGTATTGTGTATTTGTAAGCCTAAGAGTTGGTTCTAGAACTAGGTGGTCAGGTGTGGTATTGTTTGGTTTTGTAAAGCTCAGCTGCAGTTTGGGGTGTCTTACTACGTGATCTTCCCCCCCCCCCACCTTAAAACACTGCATCACCTCTGACTCAGTTTACTTTTACTGAGTAGTTTTTCAGCAACGGCCGTTTGAAGAAGGGCGAGATGGCACTTGTCTAACTTGGAAAAAGCCCAGTTGGGTTCGGTTTGTCTGCGTGTTAGATGGGAGTGATTGCAGTTATGTATTTCAGGGTGTTTGTGGGGGGGGATTGAATGAGTCAGCACATCAGGGCTCATTAAAAATCAATTGGAGTTAATTTCCCCCACCGCCAGTGCTGTGTGGATTTTTGAGTACCTCCGTCTGATCGACACACATCTGATAGTCATGCTGGTTTGATAGAGTTGAGTGTACCTCAGTGCGTTTTAGGGGGAGAGACTCACGTTGATTATCTGCTTGGTGCCAGGAATTATTTAATAGACTTGAAACAAATGTATTCTCTCATTTAATTTTCTCAGCAGTCCTGTCAGGTGGATGGCATATCATTTCCAGAATTCCAGTGAAGTAGCTGCATCTCATAACTTGAGGGGACAAGCCAGCATTTAAAGCAGGAGTCAGCTCAGTGCCAGCCCCTTACCACTACCCTGTGCTGCTCTCCTCCATCCCGAGGAGGCACAAAAACTTGGTTCAATTAGCATGCCTGTTTTTCTCTGAAAATGGGACAATTTTCCTTACTCTACCCATAAAGTTTTCTTTGAAATAGGAAAACAAAAAGTTAATCTCTATTACACCTGAAGTATAATTCCTGTTCCCTCCCAAACCTTGTTCAAATGATTTTTTTTTGGGGGGGGGTGTGGGAGGACGCCCGGGTGGCTCAGAGGTTGAGCGCTTGCCTGCCTGTGGCCCAGGGTATGGTCCTGGAGTCCTGGGATCGAGTCCCACATTGCGCTCCCTGCAGGGAGCCTGCTTCTCTCTCTCTCTCTCTCTCTCTCTCTCAATCTCATGAATAAATACATAAAATTTTAAAAACTCAAATGATTTTTTTTCTTATTTTCTGTTAATATCCTGCTAATCATGTAGGCTGGGATCATCTTAGACCTTTCACTCTTCCTCCTCTTGCCAGATGATGCCTCTGTTAGCTTTGCCCTCAACCCCTCCTCTCTACTTGTACTGCTCATTTGTTCGGAGGGCAGGCTTTCCTATATGGTGATGTTGGTCTGTCTGCCACCTTAGAGGGATCTTCCCAAGTAACACTCAGCATGTCACTTTTCGGAAAAACTTGGTTGCCCTTTACCTTTCTGGAACAGGAAATTACTTTCTTCCTACACTTCACATTGTTGGAGACTGGACCCAAAACTTTGTCTTGATTTACAGGTGTATCTGTGCAGTGATTTTTAAATATGAGCTTTGCAGTTTATGAATTCACTATTCTTTATTATTTGGTGTGTAGGTTTCAGGTGACTTGGAATTCTTTGATACATTCTGCATCTTAGAGATTTTTTGAAGCAAGGGCACTTTCATATTGGGAGTGTCATTTAAGCTTATCAGATATAAAAAATAAACTCACGTATATTTGGGTGTCAGGATATATTTCTCATACCTCTCTTCCAGTGATGTCATAAGTAGATTTGCAGTGTGACAGCTGTGGAAACTGGATTGTTGCTTGATCTTAGAATTCTAATATAGGACAAAACTGGCATCATTGTAATCACCTTTTCTGACATGTTGTAAGGGATCATTTGCATTTCAAGGACTTCATGTAAATGTCCTTTTTATTTTATTGGTATCAAACAGAATTTATTCAAGGATCTTGGTAATAAAATGTGATTATGGAATCTTAAAAATAGCTAATCATAGCCTTCTTGGGCTGGAGCTGCCAAGAGAGAATCTAGAGAAGTAACGTGTATTTGTTGAACAAAATCTCACTAATTTGATCTGCACTGTGCTGCAGATTACTTTTACAATATCTTTGAAGGAGAAGTTTTATGAAGCAAATTAAGAGAATTAGCATGCCTTTATGAGTATATTTCAATTACAGAAAATGTAAAACTGACTGTAATCAGTACGTGTTTAAAAAGATTTTTTAAACAGACTTCTAATTTGAACACCTGAGTTAGTTGCTCTTGGTCTAAATTATTGAGGTTTTTGTTGTGTTATTGAAATTCTGTTTTTACCGTAACTTAAAAGATATATAAAGATGGATGTAAATGACTTCATTTTTAATAGAACTTACTTCTATTTAACAGCACCTGTGGAACCTTCTCAAGAGGAACAGTCATTGTTATGTGAAGGTAATTTTCTGTGATACGACCCTCTATCTAATTGAGAAAACATTAAGTTGTCTATGGTATGTGAAACCTGGATATTGTTTTGTAAATACAATATCTCAATTTCTTGTCTAGGTTCAAATTCAGCTGTTAGCATGGAACTTTCAGAACCTGTTGGTAAGAAAATTTCTGACCATATTAATACAGTATTTTGAAACCCTATCAGGATATAAGGTGCAAATGTAAGTGTCATGGTTATTGTAATGCCTATGTTTAAAACTTTGAGTCTTTGCTGTTAGAATTTAGAAAGCAGTAGTTGGGCATCAGCGCTGCCATGATACACTGAATGATTGCAGATGTTAAAGCTGAGTGGAAGACTGCTAAAGTTGGGTTAAGGACTTGAGCTTGTTCTGTTTTGTTTGTGAAAAATTTCCTTCCTTTTTGCAACTTTCTTATTCTTAATGGTGTCAGATTCCCAATGTGGTTGATAAAGTTGACACCAGATTATTTGCAGAAGAAAAAGCAAAGATCTTGTAAACCCTGTGTTCTGATTTTAAACTTTCCCATTTTCCTGACACTGGAATAACTGGGCTGTTAGGAGTGGTACATCTCCTGTTTACATTTTGTTTGTCCTTATGGAAATGAAGCTTTGTTAAAATAGCAATCTCTCATCAATCTCTGAGTCATCTCTGATGTCAGCAGTGGGGCCGGCTTGAAAGCTGTAATCCATTTCTGTTGTGAAAGAGACTTCCTTGCTTATGCTTCACTAGACGTTAAGAACTAGAACTAAATATGCAAAGTTCTATTTGTTGTTGGAAGGCATCTGTGTTTTACAGTACAGATTGTTGTAAGTCTTTTTCAGAATTCTACATTAAATGTCTTATTTCAGTAGAAAATGGGGAGACAGAAATGTCCCCAGAAGAATCATGGGAGCACAAAGAAGAAATAAGTGAAGCAGAGTTAGGGGGTTGTTCCATGGGAGATGGAAGAGCCGCTGAGGAGAGTGCCCAAGAAATGATGGAGGAGGAAGAGGAAATACCAAAACCCAAATCTGTGGTCGCACCCCCCGGGGCTCCGAAAAAAGAACATGTAAATGTGGTATTCATTGGACATGTAGGTAAGTTGCACTCCTGGCTATGAAATACCACCAGTCACTGGGTACATCAAACAGCTCCACAGAGATTTTGAGTGAAACTGACGTGAATTAATCTGAAATGTTTGGATTTTTAACTCGATAATTATTTTTTTTAACCTGGCAAAACATTGCCAACACTTTGTGGGACAAATAAATAATTTTGTAATGGCATGGGAGCTGAAAAAAAAAAAATTTATATGTGATGCGCCATTGGTCTAAAGATCCACCCTCCCGGCGCAATGGTGGCTAAGCATATGATGACATATGTTTTTTTTTTTATGATGACATATGTTAATTAATATCCCAATCTGGTTTTCTTGTGTGTGAACTCCAGTTAATTTGTTAATTTTTTGGGCTTCATCTAACTAATTTTGAGTGATATAGGAAATTAATTTGGAGTGACTTCTGGATGCTTGTCAGATTGCTGGGTTAGCACAAAACGAAACCCATTTAATTTACTCAGATATTCCCTGGCCATCTGACTTAGCCCCAAAATCGAAAGAAGAAAATACAGAATTATGTGTCCTTTTTTCCTTCCCTTTATCTCTGCTTTCTCCTGAATATAACGTTATATACCATACTCCTTTTTTAGTAGCAAGGACTCCTTTGAAATGTGTAAAGGAACACCTGTATTTGCTAAAATTAGTGAAAGGCAGACTACCTAAATGTAGTTCACAGCTCTTTGGCTACTTTTGCTCTCCCCTGAGGTTCCTCTTGGGTAATTTATATTCTGTTGCTGCTGTGCTCTCCGCTGAAGGTCAGAGAGCAATCTGTTCAAAAATTCTTCCTTATAGGTAAAGTAGTTCTAAGTTCTTGTTTTCCACTAGTAAGTCATTGTTGAGCTGCAAGGGGTCTTGGCAGCTTCATTTGCAACTGAATTTATGTAATTACATATGCTAGTCAGTAATGCTGTTAGTGCACTTAGCGGGTTTTGTTTTGTTTTGTTCTGTTCCATTTACATCTGTGGTTTATCTTTGATGATGATGTTACTTTTAGATGCTGGCAAGTCAACCATTGGAGGACAAATAATGTAAGTCTGTATTTTTTGTTAAATAATAGAGTTAACTTGATTGGATGAATTTTGGGCATTGTACACATATAATAATTCAAAGGCAATAAAATAGCTCACCTGAAGTAATTATAGATAGACATTACCTGTAAGGAAAGCTGATGTTAAGAAGGAATTTTTGCAATGTGATCATTGTTAGTAGTTTCTGATTAGATTTAGGCATTCCTTAGAATTCTTTTGTCATCACTGTCAGACTGTCCTGGAACATTAACTAAATGTGTTTTTAAAAGCTGTCTGTTAGATGTTTTTTGTTTTTTTGTTTTTTTTTAATAAAAACTAATATAAAACCTAGATTATAAGAAATCTTAGTTTGCAGACCTTAAAATAAGCTGTTAAGGGCAGCCCCGGTGGCCCCAGTGGCTCAGCGGTTTAGCACCGCCTTCAGCCCAGGGCCTGATTCTGGAGACCCAGGATCCAGTCCCACGTCCAGCTCTCTGCATGGAGCCTGCTTCTCCCTCTGCCTATGTCTCTGCTTCCCTCTCTCTCTGTGTGTCTCTATGAATAAATAAATAAATAAAAATCTAAAAAAAAAAGCTGTTAAATAGGAATCATTAACTAAGGCTCTGTGGATGGAAGTGTTGGGCCCATTTGATTTTTTGTGTTTTAGGAGAACGTATATTTTTTGCTTATGGAACGTATATTTTTTGCTCATGGACATTTCACTAGGATTCTGTGCTCAGCTGGCTAGGAACATGCACTGTAGATTGCAGAGAACACACAGAGATGAATGAAAGCTCCAACAGGAAGCTTTGATTTGGATGAGTCAAGGGAAGCAGTTCAGCATTCCTAAGGAATTGTTTTAAAATTTTAATTGTTGATAATTTTTTCAAATATTAAATATTGAAGTGTATTAATAAGACTTAATTGCCTGGACAAGACTGTTGGACAACACTTCTTTTATATAGTATTTGTATTTGCCCTTTAAAAAATTTTAATTCTGGGGGCACCTGTGTGGCTCAGTCAGTTGAGTGTCTGACTCTTGGTTCTGGCTCAGGTCATGATCTCAGGTCCTGGGATAGGGCCTTGCATGGGGCTCTGTGCTCATTAAGAAGTCTATGTCTCTCTCCCCTTGTCCGTCTGCCCCTCCCCCCGCTTGTACTCACACTCTCTCTCTAAAATAAATTAATTTGGGCAGCCTGGGTAGCTCAGCAGTTTAGTGCTGCCTTCGGCCCAGGGCATGATACTGGAGACCCAGGATCGAGTCCCACATTGGGCTCCCTGCATGGAGCCTGCTTCTCCCTCTGCCTGTGTCTCTACCTCTTTGTCTCCTGTTTCTCATGAGTAACTAAATAAACGTTTTTTAAAAAATAAAATTAATTAAGAATATTTTTATTCTGAAATAATTTTAGAATTACAGAAAGGTTACAAGAATAGTAACAAGGTTCCCATATACCTTTCATTCAGCCTTTCCTAGTGTTAACATATTAAATAACTGTAGTACACTCCTCAAAACTAGATGGTTATATTGGTACAGTACTACTAACTAAGCTGTGGCTCTTGAATTTCACCAATTTCTCCCCGAATGTGGTTTTTTTGGTTCTAGAATTCCACCTGGCGTTTAGTAGTTCCATCCTCTGGTTCCCTCTTCTCAGTTTTCCCAGCTTGTGACATTGCCGCAGTTTCGTCTCTCACAACTGTCATGAATTTGAAGAGTGCCATTTAGTAGGTCCCTTATTGTGGGTTCAACTGAGGTGTTTCACAGTTAGATTGATGTTGTACATTTGGGCAAGAATGTCACACAGGAGATATGTTGTACTCTCCTCAGACCATCCTATCAGTAGTACCTCATGTCAGTTCTCCATGTGAGAACTTTTTTTTTTTTTAAGGATTTTATTTATTCATGAGAGAGACACAGAGGCAAGAGACATCGGCAGAGGGAGAAGCAGGCTCCCTACAGGGAGCCTGGTGTGGGACTCGATCCCAGGACCCCGGGATCATGCCCTGAGCCAAAGGCAGACACTCAACCCTGAGCCACCCTGGTACCCCTCCATATGAGAACTTTACTGCTGGTGGTCTTAGCCAGGATTATTTGGTTGATGTGTTGCCTGCCAGGATTCTCCACAGTAAAGTTATTACTTTTCCCCTTTATCTGGAGGGGAGAGAATTTGAGACTATGTAAATATCTTTTCCTCTTAGACTTTTTTTTTTTTTTTTTAATTTATTGAGAGGCAGGCAGAGAGGCAGAGACACAGGCAGAGGGAGAAGCAGGCTCCATGCAGGCTCCATCCCAGGTCTCTAGGATCACACCCCAGGCTGCAGGCGGCGCTAAGCCGCTGCGCCACCAGGGCTGCCCTCCTCTTAAACTTTCTATAATATCAGCATCCATCAGTGATTCCTGTATTTTATTATTTTTTAAAGATTTTATTTATTCATGAGAGACACAGAAAGGTGGGGTGGGTGGCGGCAGACAAGAGAAGCAGGCTCTATGCAGGGGCCTGACCTGGGACTCCATCCCAGGTCTCCAGGATCAGGCCCTGGGCTGAAGGCAGCGCTAAACCACTGAGCCACCCGGGCTGTCCAGTTCCTGTATTTTAAAATAGCTGTTTTCTGGAGTTGAATTTCCACTATAAAGAGCTTTAGAGTTTAAATAACTTCACTGAATAATTTGTAATTGTTTACTTCTTTTCCCTTTGTTTCCAGGTATTTGACCGGAATGGTTGACAAAAGGACACTCGAGAAATACGAAAGAGAAGCTAAAGAGAAAAACAGAGAAACTTGGTATAGTAAACTTTTATGGCACTATAAATTACTTTTAAGGAAACACTGCCTACTTAATACTATTGTAGTCTACTAAGGTGTAGGTGCATGAGGTCTAAAGTGGTGTCATAACGAAGGAGAAGTTTCCTTTCCCCTTATTCTACAAAGTGGATCAGCTCCTGATGACTTCAAAACTTGTACAGGAACATTTGAGAACATTCATATGTCTAGTAATACACTTGTTGGATAAATTCTAAACCATCCATTTAATAGGGTCATTACATAACCACTAAAAAATTGCATTTATGGAATTTATAATACCCAGAAGTGGAGCTTAAGTTACAGTGGAATTTGGAGAGAAAGGAGGTGACATGATAGTACTTAGAATATGATCATTAATGATGTAAATAAACACTGGAAAGAAAAAAGAATGGACAGAATTATTGATAAAGAATTATTGCCTTTGGTGAGAAAAAGGGTCAGTTTTTTGTTGCTAATCTCACTTTTTTTTTAAGATTTATTTGGAACATTCATGGCTTTTGTTGTTTTTTAAATTGTATTCCTCTGTATTAAGGGAAAAGATCATCATTATACTAAAAAAATGGATTACATACAATGAAATACAGATGATAAGGTAATCTAAAATAACACTTATTCTGAATGGTTTGAACTTACATGAATCATCTTCACATGGCAAAGAAATACTGAAATGATTTTTACCAAGTAACCATTGCTCCCAAATGGTGGTTACTGGCTTTCACTTTTTTTTTTTTTTTTGGCTTTCACTTTTGAAAACATCCTTAGATAGCCATTATTTGTATTATACTTTGTGCCAGATGATCATAAAAGCTCACAGTCCTATTGACCTTGGTACAAAGTAGTCTTCCTGTGTATGTTGTCAGCTTGTTTTCATAAATACTGTTTGCTTATAGAATATATATAGGTTTGAGGCACCTGGGTGGCTCAGTCATTTGAGTATCTGACTCTCAATCTCAGTTTAGGTCTTGATCTCTCGGGGTCATGAGTTCAAGTCTTGCATTGGGCTTCATGCTAGGCATGGAGCCTCCTTTAAGAAATAAAAATAAAAAATATATACAGAATTTCTCTGCTATGTAAGAGTAGAGCATTTCTTTGAAACCTTGTGTAAACCAAAGTGGCATAAAGCAAAGAAGTGATTGTCATTAATTTTTATAGAAAAAATTTTTGAGCATTACCAGACCCAGAGAATATTAGGCTTTTCTGATATCTAAGGACTCATCTTACTAAAGGATGTACAGAATAAATGGACATAAAGCACAGATGCTCCCAGACATGGTTCAGAGCAATGGCAGTTTGATGCAGAGGCGCTTTGTGTAGTTCCTGGGGAGGGCTGGAAGGGCTTGAGGATGCCACTCTTCACTGCTCAGGGTGCACACTGCTTCTATGATAGCTCGCTGCAGAGCAAACACTGGATGCTATCTGACTCTTAGTTTTGTCTCAGGTCATGATCTCAGTCCTGGGATTGAGCCCTGCATTAAAAAAAAAAATCATCATGGGATCCCTGGGTGGCGCAGCGGTTTGGCGCCTGCCTTTGGCCCAGGGCGCGATCCTGGAGACCCGGGATCGGATCCCACGTCGGGCTCCTGGTGCATGGAGCCTGCTTCTCCCTCTGCCTATGTCTCTGCCTCTCTCTCTCTGTGTGTGTGACTATCATAAATAAGTAAATATTAAAAAAAATTTAAAAAAAATCATCTTCAGATGTCTTTCTGTTAGCAAAAGCAGTTACAATGTAGGTCTTTTTTTTTAATTTTTTTTTTTTTCTAACGTTAGGTCTTCTGTAAAAGTCAAGTGGTATAATGTGAACTTTAAAAAATCAGGATACCTGTAAATGACTAGATATTTCTAAGAGCTCCAAGTGTTTGAATCATAATAATTCAAATTTTATTCACTCGATTTTAATTTCTACTCAGTCCTATTTGTGATTTTTTTTTTTTTTTTAAGATTTAATTTATTTATTCATGAGAAACAGAGAGAGGCAGAGACGTAGGCTGTGGGAAGCCGGCTCCATCCTGGGACTCCAGGATCATGCCCTGGGCTGAAGGCAGGCATTAAACTGCTGAGCCACCCAGGTGTCCCTTGTGATTTTTTTTTTTTTTAAAGATTAAAAAAAATTTTAAGTAATCTCTACACCCAACTTTGGGCTCAAACTCACAACCCCGAGATCAAGAGTTGCATACTCCACCGACTAAACCAACCAAGTGTCCCTGTCCTGTTCCTGATTTAAATGTATGCTGCACATAAAGCTGGATGTCATCATTATACCTTGGTATAATGTGGTATAAGAATATATACCATTATACCTTGGTATAAAGTGGTGGAAGAGTATCATAAAAACCTACATTCTTAGCAATCTTAATCTTATTTTAAAATTATTTCAGGTATTTGTCTTGGGCCTTAGACACAAATCAGGAAGAACGAGACAAGGGTAAAACAGTAGAAGTGGGCCGTGCCTATTTTGAAACAGAAAAGAAGCATTTCACAATTCTGGATGCCCCTGGCCATAAGAGTTTTGTCCCAAATATGATTGGTGGTGCTTCTCAAGCAGATTTGGCTGTACTGGTAAGAAAGACCTTTCCAATTCACTTGTGTGGTTGTGAGCAGCCTCATTTCAGTGTTAAGTATTTGAGTTTATCCTCAGAGTTAAAATTGAGGTTGCAATGAGTTATATACAGTCACAAATTTTACTTTTGTCTCACTCATTGCTCAAGAAATCTTTATAATGGGATTCACTTAATGTTTTCTCTACCTCGTCATTATCTATCTATGACTGTCAGATCTCCGTGTCCACTAAATGCCAAGCTGGGTTTGCTTTGTACATACCACATGTGCTGTGGATACACAGCTGAGGGAGAAATTATCTGTTTTCTTAAGGCCTCAGACATTTTGCAGAGTTTTTGTTTGTTTTGTCACTGTACCAACACTGTCACATACGTGTTTGAATTGCAAAATATAAAGGCATACTAGATTTTTTTTTTTAAATTGGGGGATCGGAAGAAACATTTACCAAAATCTTAAACCATTTAGACGTTGTGACATTCAAAAGCCTGCAGGGTATAATTAACGTACTTTTATTTTCTTGCAAAAACCTGATAAAACTGAAAGGAAAGCTGTTTCACTGCTCAAGAGCTATATATACCTGAGTGTTTAAAAATAAACTGTCGGATTTCTTGGGATAGGTCATCTCTGCTAGAAAAGGAGAGTTTGAAACTGGATTTGAAAAAGGCGGACAGACAAGAGAACATGCGATGTTGGCAAAGACGGCAGGTGTCAAACACTTAATTGTGCTCATCAATAAGATGGATGATCCAACGGTAAATTGGAGCAATGAGAGGTAAGTTTTGCCAGTCTTACTAGATTTTACAGACATGTAAGTGGAATAAAGGATGGTTTTGCTACTGTATCCTTTTTCCTCCTGGGGTTTTTCTTAAACCTTAATTTGTTTAATAATAAAACCAGAGTTCCCTTGCTTTCTATTACAATTGAGTTATTTATAAATATTCATAGATACGAAGAATGTAAAGAGAAACTAGTGCCATTTTTGAAAAAGGTTGGCTTCAATCCCAAAAAGGACATTCACTTTATGCCCTGCTCAGGACTCACTGGAGCGAATCTAAAAGAGCAATCAGATTTCTGTCCTTGGTACACGTAAGTAACCTTTGCTTCTTTTTAGAAAAACTTTACGTCGTTATAAGTAATATCAGAAAACGATAACTGTGAGTAACTGTGGTTTTTAAAAATACCATGACTTTTGCCCATTTTTTAATTGGATTGTCTTTTTGTTACTGTCTTTTCACTTTCTTGGTGGTATCCTTTGAGGCATAACAGGTTTTAATGTTGATGAAGTCCAGTTTATTTTTTCTTTAGTTGATTTTGCTTTTGGGGTCATACATAGGAAAACATTGCCTAATTCAGTCATGAAGACTTGGCCATATTATTTTCTTTCAAGGTTGTTATAGCTTCAGCTCTTAGGTTTAGGTGAGTGTTTCACTTTGAGTTATTTTTTTTTTTTTTGTTAGGTAATAAAGTCTTGATCACTGTATTGTAAGTTTTCAAATTGGGAAGTGTAAGTCTTTAAATTTTGTTATTCTTTTTTTCCAAGATTATTTTGGCTATTCTGGGTCCCTTGAATTTCTATATGAAGATTAGGATCAATTTGTCAATATGTGTTGATAGGCAGCTGGGATTATTAATAGGGATTATACTCAATCTGTAGATGAATTTGGGGGAGCATTGCTATCTTGGCAGTAAAGCTTCCCAATTCCTATACTGTAGTTTTAAAGGGGAAATTATTTTATAGAATCCTGATTTGAGAGCTGGAAAAGTCCTTAGGAATTAAGTAATAGAATGTAGTCATTTTATGGACTCCTGAGTGGCTCAGTTGGTTAAGCCTCTGGCTCTTGATTTCAGCTTGGGTCATGATCTTAGACCATGTTGGGCTCTGCTTGGAGTGCTCAGCTTGGAGTTGGTTTGAGATACTCTATCTCTCTGCCCCTCCCCCTACTCTCTAAACAAATACTATCTAAAAAAAAAAAAAGATTCTCTTCCCTTTGCCCCTCCCCTAGTGCTCATGCTCTCTCTCCCTAAAGAAAAAAAAAAGAATGTAGTTCTTTTATTACAAAATGTAAGCCATTTACTAGAAAATGTTTCTAATTTTAATAAAGTAAGTTGTTGGGGAAGCTTTTTCATTATATTAATAGGCTATTTTGTTATATTTTTGGTTTTCTGAGGAAAGAAGGGCATGAACCGAATAATAAATCAGTTGTATGGCTGGGCACCTGGGTGGCTCAGTGATTGTTTGCCTTTGACTCAGGTCATGATCCTGGGGTCCTGGGATAAGTCTCACATTGGGCTCCTCGCAGGGAGCCTGTTTCTCCCTCTGCCTGTGTCTCTGTCTCTCTCTGTGCCTCTCATGAATACATAAATAAAATCTTTTAAAAAATCAGTTGAATGAGAAGAGTATGTGGGTAGAATGAAAGTATTATAACTGTTTTTCATATAAAGTTACGGTCATGTAACTTCTTAAAATTTTGACATTTATGTTGATTCTCTTTAATGGATATTGTTATGTTCTCAGTGGATTACCGTTTATTCCATATCTGGATAATTTGCCAAACTTCAATAGATCAGTTGATGGACCAATCAGGCTGCCAATTGTGGATAAGTACAAGGTACCCAGAATGTTCAAGAGATTGGGATTTATGGGAGGTGAAATCATTGTTTTGTGTATTAAGTTACAAAACAATCCAAATAACAACATAGCATAGATGTCTCTTAATGTTATTTAGTGATGTAGATGGATCCTGATTTAGTTTAAGCTGTTTTCTCAGTGAGCCAATGATCATTTTTTAGAGAGAAAGTCCTACAAGTAAAACTGCTGGAGTCAAAGAATTTGCACATTAAAGTTGCTGAATATCGACCAGCAGCCTTCCCAAGTACTGCCCGCAGCATATGAGTACTGGTTTTATCATAGCCTCACCAATATTAGATGTTAGTCTTTAAAAAATAAGCTTCATTATGTTTAATTTGATTTTCAAAGTGAGTTTTCTTTTTTAAAGGTTTGTCAGTATGTAATATTTGACCTCCTCAAATAATTTTTTCATTAGCTCCATGCTAAATTTCTTAAACAAGTGTTTTTCCAATTTTACACATGAGGAAGCAGGCTTAGATTTTTGAACGAACCAGAATTTAAACAAATAATTGAGATCTTCAGATGTAAAAATTTGTGCTGTTTCTGGTACCATGCTTTTTTTTTTTTTTTTTTTGTCTTAAAAGATCTTAGACCTACATACTTAACTAGTATTATAATTGCACATATGCTAATGACACAGATAATATATTTTTTACTTAGCTTGTATTTAAGATTAATCCTAACCATTCTACCACTTGAACTAAAGATTTTCTGAGTAATCCCCATAAGATTTCACTTTGTGTTGTTGAACTATTGTAGAATAGTAACAAAAGTCTGTGACTTAGTTTTTTATTTCAAATTTAAACAGGATATGGGCACTGTGGTCCTGGGAAAGCTGGAATCAGGATCTATTTGTAAAGGCCAGCAGCTTGTGATGATGCCAAACAAGGTAAGAGTTAGTAATGCTCTTTCTCATTTAGACTTTCTTTTGAAAGTATTCGCAAAGAGGGGATCCCTGGGTGGCGCAGCGATTTGGTGCCTGCCTTTGGCCCAGGGCGCGATCCTGGAGCCCCGGGATCGAATCCCACGTCGGGCTACCGGTGCATGGAGCCTGCTTCTCCCTCTGCCTGTGTCTCTGCCTCTCTCTCTCTCTCTCTCTCTGTGTGACTATCATAAATAAATAAAAATAAAAAAAAAAAAAGAAAGTATTCGCAAAGAGAACTTTTCAAAAAGTTAAGGGTTTCCATGAAAAGAAACTTTAGGGGGCATCTGGGTGGCTTACTGGTTGAGCATCTGCCTTTGGCTCAGGTCATGATCCTGGGGTCCTGGCATCTAGTCTTCTTCTGCTTATGTCTCTGCCCCTCTCTTTCTGTGTCTCTCATGAGATTTTATTTATTCATGAGAGACAGAGAGAGGCAGAGGGAGAAGCAGGCTCCCCATAAGGAGCCCGATGCAGGACTTGATCCCCGACCCCGGGATCATGCCTTGCTTGAGCTGAAGGGAGATAGATGCTCAACCGCTGAGCCACCTAGGATCCCAATAAAATCTTTAAAAAAAAAAAAGAAAGAAAGAAAAACTTTAAGATTCAGGATTATGTTTTATTAATGTCAAGTACAAAATTTAGTACAGAAGATATGGTGTGGGGCAGCCCCAGTGGTGCAGTGGTTTAGTGCCGCCTGCAGCCCAGGGTGTGATCCTGGAGGCCTGGGATCGAGTCCCACATCGGGCTCCTTGCATGGAGCCTGCTTCTCCCTCTGCCTGTGTCTCTGCCTATCTCTGTGTGTGTGTGTTTCTCATGAATAAATGAATAAATAAAAATTAAAAAAAAAAAGACCTTTTTATTTTTTTAATTTTTTTTATTTTTAGAACACCTTTAAAAAAAAAAAGAAGAAGAGGGATCCCTGGGTGGCGCAGCGGTTTGGCGCCTGCCTTTGGCCCAGGGCGCGATCCTAGAGACCCTGGATCGAGTCCCACGTCGGGCTCCTGGTGCATGGAGCCTGCTTCTCCCTCTGCCTGTGTCTGCCTCTCTCTCTCTCTGTATGACTATCGTAAATAAATAATAAAAAAATATTAAAAAAAAAAAAGAAGAAGAAGAAGATAGGGTGTTAGAGTTATCCAATGACAGATGGGGAAGGGCCAGTATTAGTACCATGTTAGAGCTAAAAGATGTATCCTCAAGAGAACTTTACCTCCATACTTTTACTGAAAGCAAGTAGAGATCCTGAGTGGTTCAGTGACTGGTTTCTCTTAACACACTGAATTAGCAAGTGAGGGCAGCCCAGGTGGCTCAGCGGTTTAGCACCTGCCTTCGGCCTGGGGAGTGATCCTGCAGTCCCAGGATCGAGTCCCACGTCAGGCTCCCAGCATGGAGCGTGCTTCTCCCTCTGCCTGTGTGTGTCTTTGACTCTCTTCTCTCTCTCTCTCTTCCTCTCTCTCTCTCTCTCTCTCTCTCTAAGAATAAATAAAACCTAAAAAAAAAAAAAAAGAATTAGCAAGTGAGTCCAGGCTGAAAACTCAGGCTTAATCATGATATAATTCATTTTCTTTTTTTTCCCTTAAAATTAAAATTTTTATTTTTATTTTTTTAAATATTTTTATTTATTTTCTCATTAGAGGCACAGAGAGGCAGAGACACAGGCAGACTCCATGCAGGGAGCCTGTCGTGGGACTCAATCCTGGGTCTCCAGAATCAGGCCCTGGGCTGAAGGCGGCGCTAAACCGCTGAGCCACCCGGGCTGCCCAAAATTTTTATTTTTTTTAAAGATTTATATATTTGAGAGAAGGAAAGCATGAGCGGGGGAGGAGCAGAGAGAGCGGGACAAGCAGACTCCCCACTGAGCAGGGAGCCTGATATGGGGCTTGATTCCAGGACCCTGAGATCATGACCTGACCTAAAGTCAGATGCCCCTGCTTTCTTCTTTTTTTTTCTTGTATTATTATATTGGCTACTATAAAATGTGCCCAATTTATAGTCCTAATCTGTTTTGAGAGAAGAGAATTTGCCTTTATCATAAATGGGTCCCTAATCTTCCTACCTTTTTGTAATTTATTATTGGAGAGGGTTTTATTATAACCTGTAAAGTCTCCATTGAACTTACCTTTGTGTTATTTTTGGCTGCTCAGTTGCTGATAATTACAGACATATTACTTGAGAAACCGTTACCTATTTTCCAAAAGGGCCTTCTCAGAGCTTCTGAGATTTTTTTTTTTTTTTTAAGATTTTACTTATTTATTCATGAGAAACACAGAGAGAAAGAGAAGCAGAGACACAGACAGAGGGAAGAATAGGCTCCATGCAGGGAGCCCGACGTGGGACTCGATCCTAGGTCTCCAGGATCTGGCCCTGGGCCAAAGGCGGCGCCAACCGCTGAGCCACCCGGGCTTCCCTCTTCTGAGATATTTATGTAGGAAAGCAGACCTCTGCCATCAGAACCTCCAAATAGTGGGGCATCTGGTGACTCAGTCATTTGAGTGTCAGGGTCGTGGGATACAGCCCTGCATGGGGCTCTGCCCTCAGCATGGAGTCTGCATCTTTCCCTCTCTCTGCCCTTCCCCCACTTGTGCATATTCTTTCTCTCCATAATAAATAAGTAAACCTAAAACCAAAACCAAACAAAAAACCTCCATATAGAGATTTGTTAGACTTCAGTGAGAATGTCTTTACCAGTCCTCAATCCAGGCACAGTAAATAAGAAAAGGTTTAGGTATAATTGGCATCTTACAAATTATACTTTGAGGTTTCTTGATGCCTTATTCACTGGAGATTAGAGTAGCCTATCATAGGATCTTTTTACTAAGGTATTTATAGCTGCAACTGGAAGGTCATTGGCAATTGAATGAAAATGCTTATCATGAATCCTAGTTCATAGGGCAGTCACCGAAGTAGTTGGGTCATGGTGATGGAAGGCAGGCAGATTGGGGGTTGTAAGAGGCTAGGGGATGAAGAATAAGGAGTGACCTGAAGGAAGGCACAGTTTCCTTTGGAATGATGAGGATGTTTTGAAACGAGATACTGGTATTGGTTGTATAATATTGTGAATGCCAACCAGATGCCTTGGAGTTGTAATATGTAAAATATTTGTAAAAGGTAAATTGTATATGAGTGTTCTACCACAATAGAAAGAAAAGTACAATTCACTAAGAGCAAGTGGACTGAGTGCCAGGCTAAACTAGTTACAGCTTTTCTGCGGGAGCTGGGACTTAATACTGATGACCAGGCAGGTCAGTGTAGCCTTGCCTGCAGCTGGTAGGCAAGCCTTGATGACTCAGTTCTTGTTAGTCCTGCTGAGTCTCAGTGGAATGGAATTAAATATTTTAAGAGACTCAGATGCCAAACTATCTTATGATAAAAAATTAATGCGTAGGTAACCTACGAAATAGGAGAAAGTAATTGTATATCAGAAATCTGATAAGGGTTTAAATCCAGAATATATCAAGAACTATAACTCAACAACAAAATTAACAACCTGACTAAAAAATAAGCAAGGGACTGAAACATTTCTCCGAAGATGTGCAAACAGCCAACAAGCATATGAAAAGATCTCATCTCTAATCATTAGGGGAATGCAAATGAAAGCCACAACGAGATAACACCTCGTACCCATCAAAAAAACAAAATAACAGATGTTGGTGAGGATGTGGAGAAATTGGAACTGTGGGTGAGAATGTAAAACTGCACACCGCTGTGGAAAACATAATGATGTTTCCTCAGAAAAATTTAAAAATGGAATAATTATATGATCCAGCAGTATCACTTCAGGATATGTGCCCAAAAGAATGGAAAGCAGACCTCAAAGAACCCATGTTCATAATAGCATTATTCACACAAGCTAAATGGGGAAGCAACCTATCGTGTCAATTGATGGATAAGTAGATAAACAGAATGTGATATATCCATACAGTGGAATATTATTCAGCCTAAAAAGGAAGGAAATTCTGACCCATGGTACAACATGAACGTTAAGGGCATTGTGCTAAGTGAATTAATAAGCCAGTCACAAAAAGATAAATAATGTATGATTCCACAATTTTTTTTTTTTTTTTTAAGATTTATCTTGAAGGGGAAGAGGGAGACAGAACCTTAAGTGGACTCTGTGCTGAGAGCAGAGTCCCAGTGCCGGGCTTGATCTCATGACCCTGAGATCACGACCTGAGCCAAAACCAAGAGTCGGTCATTTAACCAGCTGAGCCACTCAGGCGCCCCTATGATTCCACTTTTGTGAGGTACTTAGAACAGGCAAAATCCTCATTACCTTTCATAAACCAAGAGAATTTGTTGTTCTGTCTTAATTTTTGAAACTATGGATTAATTAAAAGATTAGAGTAACTATTGTACTTAGCCAGAGAAGACCGCGTTTGGAGAGAGGGATTGTTATACTGGATTGTTTGGGCAAAAAGTAGTTTACAGTACTTGCTTAGTTTGTCTATGGGGGAACTCCTGGTTTCTGCCCTTTTGTCCTGTTACTGGAAAGAATTTAGCTAACAAATATGGCTCTGTTTCACTTCTTGGAATGAACTTCAGTAGGTATCAATAAGGTATAAGCTGCCTTTTGGGAAAGGAGACCATTATTGGTGAAGAGGGGAGAGACTACTAGAGGTTAACAAGTGACAGACTGTAGAATTCTGGAGGATAACGATTCTGGATTCTCCACTGTTTATCTACCAGCGTGAAATAGTTTATTTTGTCATGAGGGCTGTTAATTTGTGGTATGTGTTTTAACAATATGAATTTCCAAGGGAAGAAATGGAGTAAAATAAGGGAGCACTTGTGGGTATTGCTTTTAACATGTTCTACCATCTCTATGCTTTTTTTTTTAATAATTGGTAAAATAATGTAAATTTTACCATTAGTGACATTTATTAAGCTTCACAGTCATCACCACTATGAGGTTAGAACATTTTCATCACTCCAAAGGAAACCTTGTACCCATTAGTCTGTGTTCTTTTAAAGCTTAATTGTTCACGTATCTTTTTGAGAAGCACATTCTTCAGATATTTGGAATTGATGGGTAATAGAAGCTGTGCTATTAAATCCTAGAATCTAATCATAATAATGACATTTGTAAAATTAAAATCTAGATGTTAGATTTAATGTTTTAATTTTGAAAAGATAAGGCAAATGCTAGTTTATACTGTGTTCAATTTGGAAATTATTAGGATATGATATTAAGCCAAATTAATATTTTATTTTTTATTTTTTTATTTTTTAAAATAAATCTATTTTTTATTGGTGTTCAATTTGTCAACATACAGAATAACACCCAGTGCTCATCCCGTCAAGTGCCCACCTCAGTGCCCGCCACCCAGTCACCCCCACCCCCCCAAATTAATATTTTAATTGGCAGTTTATATCTCTAGGATATGATTTTCATTAAGTTCATGTCATACAAATGTAATGAAGTTTCATATTCAAGTAAGTGTTTTGGCTAATCCATGACCTCAGAAAAATGTGACCTGCAAGTCTAAATGAACATTCAGATCACTTCACGTTCTGCTGAGCAGTGAATGTCAGAAATCCTCCAGGCTTGCGTTTATTGTTTTGTTTTGTTTTTTTAAGCACAATGTGGAAGTTCTCGGAATCCTTTCCGATGATGTAGAAACTGATTCTGTAGCCCCAGGTGAAAACCTCAAAATCAGACTGAAAGGAATTGAAGAGGAGGAGATTCTTCCGGGATTCATACTTTGTGATCCTAATAATCTTTGTCATTCTGGACGCACATTTGATGCCCAGGTAAACTAGTTATTGTAATTGAGTGATCTCTCACTGTCTAAATGAAATTAGAATTTAAATCCCTTTTGTCCTGATGATTGGTGACATACCACTGTGTAGGGGGGGAATTGAAATCCTACCATATTACGACAACCATGATATAGATCTCACACATGAGGTCTTTAAGAGGTGGTATTTTTTATAAGTTCCTTTTTATTTTATTTGTTTATCTACTTCATTGTTTTTGAAGTAGGCTCCACATCCAATGTGGGGCTTGAACTCACAACCCCGGGATTGAGACACATGCTCTACTGACTGTGCCAGCCAGGCACACCACGTTCCTTTTGAATTTTGCTCAAGGTGTCTTTCCCCTGAAAATAGAACACAGTTGCCTTGGAAATCAGGGTGTGTCTGCTCATTCAGGGTAAGTACCTTTCCAGACAGGAAAACACAATTTCTCTGTTATTAGCAACCTGACTTCCACAGAAGAATTACAGAGTTGATGCTTGGTGTAGCTCAGAAATTTTGAGTTCTGTAACCAGCTATGATGACAAGTTAGATTTTGATGCTTGGATACAAGGTTGTCTACTTTTATTTTTAAGATTTTATTTATTTTTTCATGAGAGACACAGAGAGAGGCAGAGGGAGAAGCAGGCTCCATGCAGGGAGCCCCATGCGGGACTGGATCCCGGGACCCCAGGGTCACACCCCGGGCCGAAGGCAGGTGCTAAACTGCTGAGCCACCCAGGGATCCCCAAGGTTGTTTACTTTTACTGGATCTTAGATATTGAAAACTCGATAAAATTATGAGAAGTTCACATCTGGAACAAAAGAAAAGTAGCTGTAGTGGCAGTGACTACCTTAAATTCTTAGGAAGAAAGAGGCTTCTCAGAGAAGAATGAGTCTGCCTGCTAGGTTTCTAAAGTTTGGGTCTGGCCAAGAAGATAAGTAGGGTAAGGATATCAGAGTTCATGCTTGGATATCAGGCGACCTGACCCAGCACTTCTAATTCAAAAATAACTTGAGACTGTGAGTTCCATATTCTTGTGGTACTATATGGCACTAGAGAACATTCAGTTCTTTTTTTACCCCACGGATAAAGATGTGAATTTTTTTGTTTGACAGATAGTGATTATAGAGCACAAATCCATCATCTGCCCAGGTTATAATGCGGTGCTGCATATTCACACCTGTATTGAGGAAGTCGAAATAACAGTGAGTCTTAATTAATTGATAATTAAGTTAATTGGGGTTTTTTGTTTATGTATGTGTTTAAAGACTATCTTGATAATTTCTGATCGGCAACAGTAATATACTCTTATTTGTACTCCTTGTCCTAAAGATTCTCTTATTTGGCATTCTGATCTCCCTTTTTCTTGGCTAGGCCTTAATCTGCTTGGTAGACAAAAAATCAGGAGAAAAAAGTAAGACTCGACCCCGTTTTGTGAAACAAGATCAAGTATGCATCGCCCGCTTAAGGACAGCAGGAACCATCTGCCTTGAGACCTTTAAAGACTTCCCTCAGATGGGGCGCTTTACCTTAAGAGACGAGGGTAAGCATTTACACTGCTGCCTAGTAGCATCTCTAGGATGCGAGTTTGTTCCATCCAAGTACGGTGCACGTCACAAGTTCATAGAAAACTTGGATGCATGTTCTGTAATATGTTCCTGTAATAAATGTTTCATGAGTTGAGTGGTTTGAACAGACGGAACCGACCATGCATTGTAACAGTATGCTGTAGATTAAGAATCTTAATTTTGATAATTTGTAAGTAGTGGGCTTTGAGAGTTATTTTATTTACTAAATGAGACATTTCTATGGTGAAATCCTTTGTACTATGTGTGCTTAAAGCCCATCTTGAAGGGCTTAAGCCTGTAAGGCAAGTTTTCGCCATTCAAGCCTCCGAAGTAGAAACCTTGGTATTTTTGTGGTCAGGAGACACTTTAAAATCAAATATAATAAACATTCACTACATTGATGTCGGGGGCATGAAACACATACATTAATGGTCTGTCAGCACCTGATTTTTCTTTTTTTCAGAAGCATCTGATTTTTATACAGGTTTATTTAATGTTACGTTTTTTTTGTGTGTGGGTGTCCATTTCTCCCTAGTTCTGAGTGAATCTGAACAGCTCTGCTTTTCCTATGTTGTGGCCATGAAACTTTTGGTAGCAGGAAAACAAAGTGGCTCTTATTAAATGTTTCTCTGTGGATCATTAATATTTCTAACTTAGATAACTATTTTAAGAGTGTGGAAAGTGTTACATTAAAACATTGTGGTTCAGTTGAAATACAGAATTCGCACCTCACGTGTTCATTCCATTTCTGTTCTACAGAAAACTTACTCTGGGTCTCCTGCACGTCAGGAGCTGTGACAAGCACTATACCTCCTCCACCTTATTTCAGAGGAATCTGTACAGAGACAGTATTTACTTTATTTTGAAGTCCTTATCTTAAAAATCTTCTTGGTAATGGCAAACCTGGTTACTTGGGTTTGTCCTGTTTACTTAACAAAATGAGAATCTTAGTTACCAATTAGAACCTGACAAAATCCGGTGAACAGAAAGTAGCAAGAATGTTTAATCCCAGAGTTGTTTTTTTCCTAAAGGGTAGCTTGGCCTTTTAGGTTTTTCACATGACCTTGTGGTATTTCTACCCTTTATAGTAAATAGAACTGAGAACCCCTCCTTCGCATCTTTATTTATTTATTTTTTTTTTCCTTCACATCTTTATTGAGTTCATTTATATACCTTGAAATGGACTTGTTTTAAGTGTACAGTTTAATGAATTTAATCTATTTACAGGGTTGTACAACCATCACCACATTTTATTTTTAGAACACATCTTAAAAAACTCCTATACCTGTTTACAGTCACTTGGTGTTCCTATCCCTAGCCAACCACAGATCTTTCTCTGTTTGCCTTTTTTGGGCATGCCATATAAATAGAATCATACAATTTGTGGTCTTTAGTGTCTAGTTTTTTAAACGTGGCATGTAATTCTTTTTTATTGCCAAATACTATTCCATGGTTCGGACATTCCACATTTTACTTGTCCAGGCTTAGATTTGTGATATAGGAAAGGATAAGCTTCTTTTCAGCTCCCCCTACCCTCTAGAGACCCACTTATTAAAAGACACCTACTCAGAAATCATGCCTTTGGTGGAAGAGCCAGTTAATTAGTATTTACATTGTGGACAATAATTTTATGATTTAAAAAATAATAAGCTTGAATACCTTATGTAGCCTTGCTGTTAACTACTGAAAAGGGTTTTTGTTTCTGTTTTTTAAATTTCATTTCTAGGTAAAACCATTGCAATTGGGAAAGTTCTGAAACTGGTTCCAGAGAAAGACTAAGCATTTTCTTGATGACCCTGCACAATACTGTGAGGAAAATTGACTGCAAAAGCCTACTTCACACCGCCTTCTCTTATTTTCTGCCCATTGACAAACTTCTCCCCATATTTTGCAAAGACGAAATCCACAGCAAAAGTCCACATTATGTCAGCTTTCTCATATTGAGAGCTCTGCTATGCCACTGTTGAATTTTCCCCCAGATTTTTTTCCTTCCCCTCCCAAACTCTGCTTCCTTGGACAGATTTGGCAATAGCTTTGTAAGTGATGTGGACACAATTGCCTACAATAATGAAAACTTACAGGAATTTTTTTATTTTTCATTTTCCCCTTAGGCATACTTAGTCTTTTTTCCCCCCAGGCAGATCATTCTGAGTGTGCGAGTGTGTGCACATGTTATAGAGACAACTACCATGTTAATAAAATATTCAATTTGAAATCCTTTTCGGTATTTGAATTGCTTTTGAATAACGTTTTTTATCTGGATGTAACATTGTTGCATTAGCTTTTTAACTTACCAAGTAATTGAGTACATTTTATGACTTGGACTTTTCTAAACTCTTCCCTCCCCACTACTTTAAATGAGGCATTTCCAAACGCTGTGCAAGTTTGTATAAAGGAAAGTGTTAAGTTTGGCCCCTTCCTTTGGTGGTTAGTGCATATGTCCAATCAAACACCTGTATGGCGCTGGGACGCTGCTGTAGTAGTAGGTCTGCCAGCTGTTTCCTGCCAATTTATATTCAACATGGTTTCTTCAACACAGTAGGCTGTTTTAAAAAAGAACAGCGTACTGTCGTTTTTATTAGTAAAGTGTAACAAAAGTACCCCTACAGAAAATTCCATTACCGTGTTAAATTAGTGGGATTTGCAATAAAGCAAGCATGTTGAGACCTGGCAGAAATGCCTCCTTTAGCATTTATAAGAGCTGCATGCATCTAGTATGAAAACTGTATCCATTGCAAGTGCCAGTTCTGCAAATTACTCCTTTACTATTTGTATCAGTAATTTTAAAGGCTGGATGATCCTTGCTGGTTTAAAGCTAAATCTCATCCGGCCACATTTAGAACCATCCAAATCTGCACAGACTAAAGTTAACAGTGATGTGTAGAATCAAGCACAGTATCGAAGTTTTTCTCAGTTACTTCAAATTAACTGTTTTCTTAAAGCTGAAATTTGCTAAACTGTTATTTGGATGAACCACAATGGAGCATGGCAGTGGTTTTTAGACTGAAGGCTGACTTTCTACTATAACTGACAGGATTTTGAAGTTTTTAATGAGAATGAGTGGGAAATGGAAGAGCCACTTTTTGGGTTTATTGGAAGCCCCCCTTGATTTTGAGGGATGTCATATATCAAAGACAGCCTCTTTTAGACTGTGGTTTATCTCTAAATAAGATACTTTTGTAATTGTATATTTAATGACAAGTCCCTTCCCTCAGAAAAGAAAAGCCTAGTCAGACTGTGTTTCCAGTCACAAAGCATAAAACAATCTAATCCTGTTCTCTTAACTATAGAATTACCATTCATTTCATGAATGGTGCTATATCTTATGGACAGAGCAAAGTTATCGTCCTACAGCTTCCTATAACTATACTCACGGCTATTAAATTGCATGAAATTTAGCTAAATTTTATTATGTCAGCAAATCTCTGGGCTTTTATTTTTCTGGGAAATACGGGAGCTTTAATCAGTACATAATGACTTTTTGTACTTCCAAGTTAATAGGAACAAAATAGCAATTGCTTGGATTTTAATGAATCTTTAAAAGCTCAAGAGTTGTTGAAATTATTTCCAAAAATAGATTTCCATTTTTAAATCGAGCATATTTTTAAAAACCAGTTCTGTTTGCTATTAAAACATTTACAATTTTAGAATATTATGTGCATGTTGCCAAGACTCCAGCAAAACGACATGGATACCAACTGTAAAGGGTCTAGCTCTAAAATAGAAAAGATTATGAAATATAAATTTCATTGGATTCTTTTACACATTTGTGCAAATGATTACTTAATCATGAAAAAAAAAAACGCACTGTTAATTATGGGCTTGGAAGTTCTTTAGGAAGTAGTCTCAGAATTGATGCATTTTAACTCCTAGTTCACCCTGGCTGGTGATCTGGATGAGGAAATTCAGTGTCTGGCGTGAACTGGCAGCATGTGATGCTGGGCCTCTGCAGAGAGCAGTGCAAGTTCCTGTGCTGATGGACTGTGGGTGTGGCTGACAGTGCGAACGTAGGCTGACTGGCTGCAGATGAGGGTAATATGGACCCAAACGTTTCTTCCTCCAGCTTTAGCGTAGATCTTAGAATCTAGACTTAGAATCACAACTTTCTTTGCATCTTTTTACTTTAATGTTCTGTATACAACTGTCATGCTAGATTATTTATAGTTTTTTTAAATTAATGAATTGAGAATAAAGGTATCATTAATGAACATCTGAAGTAATTGCCACTTTAAACCTTTACTGCTGTGGGAGAGGGGAAAATACAGCATCTATTTCTTGTTTTTAATTTGCAAAAAGGACTTATATCCAGTGAAAACCAATGTAAAATCAAACCAGAAGAGTTGGACTGAGTATGTATTGCCATGAAATTAAGTGACAAATAGTAAAGTGTTCTTGAATACTTAAGCCCATGTATATTTCTTTGTTTTGAACTGAAAGTCTTGAAATATGTGATAACTGAATGTAAAAACTCTGTAAATTGTTAAAGTACAGGTGGTTCACTGTAACAAGAGGGAACTCGTACTTGCCTGCTAGTTCCCTAAGCGACAAGAACTGTGTTCTCAGTGTGCGATGGACTTTCAAGGGGGTGCAGTTGGACAGTCCCTGGCACCCTCTCAGCTCAAGTGCTGCAGAGATGTGGGGTCATGCTTTCAATCAGATGCAGTTTTGCAACCCAAGAAAAAGGCGGACCTATGGTCAAAAACTGCTTCCATGACGAACTCTTGAAAAAAAGTCATCTAAACTCCCTGGCATCTTCAGGAAGACTTAGTCACAGCTGTCACTACCCCAAGGTCTGTGATGACTGTCCCACGGGGCAGCACTTCAGCTTCTCTCCTCGTTGGCACGGACTTCCTCACAGACCGCCACCACGTGAAAGGTGGCTTCATGGCTCTGGGGACAGATGTAAGGTAGTCGAAGGGCTAATAGTTTTTACGACAACTCTAAACATCAGGCAACTCTGAACCCTTGAAAACTTTTGAAAATTGCGGTCACTGCACTCCAGCAGCCTGGAGAACGACGCGACGTTCTGTACAGTGTTGGCCTACCTTATCAGAGTAAACGTGCCATTAATCCTCTCACAGACACACGCGAGGTAGACAGCAATCAGCAGGATTCAGGGGACGATTTTCTGTCTCCAGATAACGTGGCTTCTGTTTCCTCCCGCCAACTTTTCAGTGATTCTAGCAAAATGCCATCTGATATATTCATGCTTTGTTTCTTTAGAGATCTTGCCATGGCAGCAGCTTGTGAAATAAATGTAATTATACATGCACAACTCAAAAGACTTATTACTAGGTTTAAATTTAGCAGTCAGTTGGTTATATTAGATTTCCTAGTAAGTGGAATAGGGACTGTTTGTTTTTATTTTCCCGTGATAGTTCAGTGGATTCCATTTGAACCAATTTACTGCCAGAATTCAGGTCGGATAGATTGGTTCAACTTGTGATGGTTTTGGTTCTAGGATAGTCTTGATTTTCAGGATCCTGGAACATACTGAGTCTTCCCTTCAATAAATACACTTTTCACATACCTCTAATCCTATGCTTCCTTGAAACAGTAATCTGCTAGCTGAGTTGTTTACTAGGGAATGTTCTAAGGGCCCGGAGGTGTGGGAGTGGAGATTAGAACCTTGACGTTCTCCAACATAAGGGAAAAGCAGGTAGGCACCATGTCTGATTAGGCAGAAAATTGGGATTTCTCGAGCAGCCCCTAGAATGGGAACCGTCTTTTCTGCCTCACCACACATGCCACTGTGCCCTTTAAAACTTAACACGGAAACCTCAGATTTGTGGACGGCAAAGGTGGAATGATGTTTTGTGCTTCCTGAGGCTTCCCTCTGCCAGGCACATTCGCTTAGCGCTCCAGATGTCAGCCCGAGTCCCTGCTACCTCCTTTCCTGCCGCCCGGGAAGAGTGTGCTGGAGCGGAGCTCCCGCGCTCCTCCGGTGACCGGTGACGTCCTCGTGCTTCAGGTGACCGAGGTCAGTCCCGAGGGCCTGCCTACTTTAGGGACTCCCCGGGGAGCTGCTCTCGGAAGTCAACTCACCTTAGTTACCTAGTTTGTTCTGCTCTAAAGGAAATGTGGATCTCTCTCAGGCCAGGACTTAGTGACTAGTTTTTACTAGAACAGCGTAGGTCAATACCTAGGCTCTTTTTTTTTTTTTTTTAACAAAAAAACCCAGAGAATTCAAGGGAATGGAGTAGCTCTGCCGAGGTTCTGAGCCTAATTCCAAAGCATGGCAGACTAGGTAGGAACTGTGGGGATCCAAGGTCAAGAAACCTTTTTCTTATGATTTGTAGCTACCTACTGTGCCTGACTTGGTGCCTGTGTGAGGATGAAGCCCTTAGCCGCTCTTGCAATTATTCACATGACTGAAGTTAAAAGAACTTGCTTTTGTAATAACAATAAAAATTGTCATCTTCCCTTTTGAAGGACTTGTCTGTCTGTTTACAATCGCCTGTACTGTATCATGCCTGAGGGCCCCAGCGGTCCTCTGTTCCTGATTTCTGGGTCAGGTACCAGCACCATCTCCCAGTGGATCTGGAGGGATCTAATGAGCCAAATCACATGAGGGACTGACAAATGCGTGGTCTCCCTGCACACGGTATGCAAAGCTTTGTACAGTCTATGTGAGCTTGCTTGCTTTTTTTTTTTTTTTTTTAAGATTTATTTGATAGAGCAGATGCAGGGGAGAGGGAGGCAGAAGAGTAAACTCCTCACTGAACTTGTTGCCCCATGCGGGGCTCCATCTCAAGACCCTGAGATCACAATTTGAGCCAAAACCAACCGTCAGAGGCTTAACTGACAACTGCCAGGGGCCCTGTAGGTGACTGAGTCTTAACACCACACAGGGCAGCCCCAGTGGCTCTAGCGGTTTAGCGCCACCTTCAGCCCAGGGCCTGATGCTGGAGTCCCTGGATCGAGTCCCAAGTCAGGGGACTCCCTCTGCCTGTGTCTCTGCCTCTCTCTCTCTCTCTCTCTCTCTCTCTCTCTCTGTGTGTGTCTCTCATGAATAAGTAGATAAAAAATTTAAAAATCTTTAAAAAGTTAAAAAAAAAACACACCAAACAGGTGAGAAGTGCTTAATAGCTGTATCACAGGGGTGCCCTAATAGAACTAAAATCTTAAAAAAAAAAATAGCTGTATCACAGTATGTGGCTTTATGTGAACAGAGTTGGGGAGACATCGGTGATTCTGTCTCAAGTACTACTCTCTCTATTCAGGGCTTTCCCTTTAAAGATTTATTTGTTTATTCATGAGAGACACAGAGGCAGAGACACAGGCAGAGGGAGAAGCAGGCTGCCTGCGGGAGCCTGATGAGGGACTCGATCCTAGGATCCCGCCCTGAGCTACCCAGGTGCCCCTATATTCAGGATTTTTAATAGTGATCAAGAAGCCAAATACTTGGGGATCCCTGGGTGGCTCAGCGGTTTAGTGCCTGCCTTTGGCCCAGGGCGCGATCCTGGAGTTCTGGGATCAAGTCCCACATCAGGCTCCCTGCATGGAGCCTGCTTCTCCCTCTGCCTGTGTCTCTGCCTCTCTCTCCCCCTATGTCTATCATGAATAAATAAATAAAATCTTTAAAAAAAAAAAAAAAAAAAGAAGCCAAATACTTAAGCCAGGACAAGAAATGAATAGTAGGGGCAGCCCGGGTGGCTCAGCATTTTGGCACCTGCCTTCGGCCCAGGGCATGATCCTGAAGACCGGGATCGAGTCCCATGTCGGGCTCCCTGTATGGAGCCTGCTTCTCCCTCTGCCTGTGTCTCTGCCTCTCTCTCTGTTTCTCAAGAATAAACAAAATCTTCAAAAAAAAAAAAAAACAAACCAGAAATGGTAAACAGGCAGTATACACTATAGGTGGGCTGACAGCAGTATAATCCTGCGTCCTTTTATTGCATGAGTTCGTATGAGTTCTTGCATAAACCACCCTAGGTGAAAGGAATCACTTCAAGGTTTTGATCGTGTCTGTGGTAGAGGTGTTTGACATTCACTGGAGTCTTGGCTCACAACTTGTCAGCTAGTTTACAGAAGGGAGGGAGTCCATTTTTTTAAGATTCTATTTATTCATAAGGGACACAGAGGCAGAGACACAGGCAAAGGGAGGAGCAGGCTCCATGCAGGGAGCCCAATGCGGGACTCGATCCCGGGCCTCCAGGATCACGCCCCGAGCTTAAGGCTGCCCTAAACCACTGAGCCACCGGGGCTGCCCAGAGGGAGTCCGTTTTACAAGAGTTCACAAGTGGTTCTGATTAATCACAGTAGTTAACCACACTCTTCTACTCTTCAGTGACTAGGTCTCCAGCCCTGCCCATCAACCCTGTGCTCTAAGCGTGCCGGGACATGAGCCACATGTAGGCACTGTACTGCGGTGGGTAGACTGACCAGGGGATCTCACGCGTCACGGCCCTTGGAAGCAGTTTCAGAGACTCGCATTCTTCCAATCAATGCATCATAAAGCAGAAAACCAGCTAGGTACCTCGGACACGGTAGCTCTGTAGTGAAGAACTACAGATCCTATCAAGTAGAATAAATGATGACCAAGTTACAGTATTTTCATTTAAAAAGACTTTCAGGAAGAAAACACTAGTCTTTTTGACCATGGGAAAAAACAGGTCCCAGAAAATATATATTTAGCCTCTTTAGTGATGAGGTTATCTATTTAAGTCTCTGGCCATTTAAGGCCATTTAGATATATGAAGAATTTTCAGTAATGTACTGCAGTGGCAAACATTTTTGTTTCCTTATATTCACCTTCCAAATTCAGTCTTAAAAGTGGAATTTTTGTTACTGTGATTATGTATCTGCTTTAAATTCTGAAGGCTGTGTGCCCAAATTCCTTGCATGAAATATTTTCCTGTTTTCTGCTAGAAATATATTAGTTAAAACAAGGAGACAAAAATCTTGTAGCTGACAAGTGTGCTTTTTGTTATTCAATTACTATTTTTTCTTAGAAGACCATTTTTTAAGTGGGCTCCATGCCTAGCGTGGGGTTGAACTCATGATCCTGAGATTGAGTTGCATGCTCTACCGACTGAGCCAGCCAGGCGCCCCATCAATTAAGATTTTTTTATATGATCCTTCTGTTAAAAATTAGGGGCACCTGGGTGGCTCAGTCGGTTATGTGTCTGCCTTCAGCTCAGGTCCCCGAGTCAGGCTCCCTGTTCAGTGGGGCATCTGCTTTTTTCACTCTCCCTCTCCCCCCCTCATGTTCTGTCTCAAATACATAAAATAATTTTTAAATAAGCAAAACCTCTTCCCTCTCCATGTGTACTGAGTCACATTTAATGTTAGCTGCACATTTTCTTAACCTGTCCCACTTTGAGTCTTTAACATTTTGTTTCAGGGAAATGAATGATCATGCCCAAAAATAAAAGCAAGCAGTAAAAATAGTTTAAAAATTCAAGGATTTATAGGAATTTTAATTTTAAGGCTTTTTTACCAAAAAAAGTTCTACTCTGTGGTTTAAGAGTCTATTGGTCATCTAAGTCTACTGGTAAAACAGCTAGAGAGGAAATCACGGGAAAATTACCTATTTAACTTGTTCTGCATTCTTTATTGTGTGATTATATTTGGACTGAGATTTACTATGGTGATTTCACCCCTTTTAATGGGATGAGGACACAGTACTCAAGCACTTTGTGACTGCTTATAGACTTCACAGGTTACTTAGAACAAAAGCAATCTCCATCACCAGTTATGTTATTTCCCTGGCAAATACACTACATTTTTAGGATCAAGAGATTTTGAAAGAATTAGATTCTTAAAAATAATTACTATTTGTAAAGAAGTTCCAGCAGACAGAACTTGTGTACGAAAAGGAGGGTTTTTTTTTATTAAGGCAAAGTTTACATACAGTGAAATGCACACAACTTGAGCTTCCAATAAATCTGTCGAATGTGTACAATTATGTAGACACCCACCACGTCAACACAGAGTATTCCCACCACCCCAAAAACTTCCATTCTCTTTCCAACCCATTCCTTCCTCCTGCCAAGGTGATCACCGTTTTGCCACACGTTCATTTTGCCTGGGTTCAAGCTCCACATAAATGGAACCACTATATGCACCCAGCTGTCTTCTTTCTAGCAACATGTTTTCGAGATTAATCCTGCTGGGTCTATCAGTTTATTCTCTTGCCGAGTACACCATTCTATTTTATGAATATCCCAGGATTTTTTTTTATCCCTCCTTAAAGGGAGATTTAATTTTGTTTCCCAGTTAGGATTCCATCATGTTGGCTGCAAATACAGCCTTCTTTGAGTTATCATTACAAATGCAAATAAACCAGACAGAAGTTTCATCTTTTCTGTTTAAATGCTTTTATTACTAAACAGACCATTCAGTCCTCCTAAAAGGTGATGAAACTACACAAGCTCCCCTCTGATCTCCCAGGCAATCATGAAAGCCTTCTCCACTGTGCACCCTCTGACGTGTCATGCCTGTTCCCAAGTGGCACTGTCCCCAGCCGGCTTCTGTGTTGCCAGGGTGAATTAACTGGACGTGCACCTCTACTGATCAACTCTTTCAAACCTCAGGACCAACTCCTATTTTTTTTCTTGTTCAGTTGACTTATTATGTTCATGTAGAACTTTTAAAAGTTCTTTTACTGACCCTTCATCATTGATGACCTAGCATGATATTTTATAGTGGCTACTGAAAACCTTACTAATTTGAGTAAAGAGGCACGGAGTTGTCTCGACATCCAGCAGTTATATACGGGTGTTGCTTAAGAGAGCACAGCCCTCCAAGCACTTGTCAGCTGCCTGTCTTCCACAGTAAGAGATAATAGCTGGTATCCGTAATCTATTTTGTGTAAGTCTAGAAATCACTTTTTAGATTGGCCTTAATAGGACATTCCTCAAGGAGTGTAATTCCCCTAAGCTGAGGTGGACTGGATTCGTTTTCTTCCTAAGTCATGTCCAAGGAGGGGCTGATGCACACCCAAGACTGCGAGACATGGTGTCCCTCTAGGGCCCACCCGACCATACAGCTGCCGGGGATCCCCTTAACTGCCCCAGGTGACTTCCAGCTCTCCTGCTTTCTCTTCCTGGCGCCCTCCAGAGGTTCCTTAAAACAGTTCTCCCTGCCTGAACACAGGCGTACCACCTCCTTCCATCTTTCAGCGGCTGAGATGCACGTTTCCTCTCCAGTCCATTTAATTATCATATTTTCAACTACAGGCTAGTCTTGTGCTGTTATGTATGTGCTGGGTGCTATGTAGATAGAAGCCATCTCATTTAATCCTCTGAACGATTCCGGAGAACTAGCACGCACCTACAAAAAGGACAAGAGGGAGGGAGGGGGAAAGAGAGGAAGCATGGCACTATCTTAGGAACACATGTGCAGTACAAGGATAGCTCCCAGACAAGGGAAGGAAGACAGTGGACCAGGAAGAGCCAAGCCTGGAGCAAGCGTCTGTGCCCCGTGTGCC